AAAACCTAAACTATTCGATGAGTTGGTGAATAAACAATTTATCAGAATTCTCCCGTTCCTGGTTTTAGCGCAACTGCATTGCGCAGCTACCTTATTTTTATATTCTAAGTAAATTTGTTCTATACAAAATTTATATTATAATAGTATATTTAATTTTATATCTTTTAGATATTAAGAAAGAAATATCAAATTTTAGAATTTTTGATCAAAAATCTAAATTTGGTAACTTTTTCTTAATATTCAAGAAATATAAAATATTATATACCAATATAATATAAATCTATATATAGAACAAAATTAATTAGAATACAAAAGCAGTTTTTATTAGCAGTCAAATGATCTGTCACATCATGATTTTTATCATATGATTTTCATAAATTACACGAATTGATAAATTTACAGATCTGATTTTTTTTTTAAATCCATAATCAAAGTATGTAAATATTTTAAAACAAGTTTGTTACTGAAGTTTTTATGAATCAAAAATATAAAAAATATAATAAAAAAACTTTTCTATATAGAATATGGTATTTTTGAAAACAGGCAATTATTTTATATACTTTTAGAAGATTCTTCTCAAGCTTACAACTATATAACATTAAAAATGATTCATTAGATGCACCAGCATGAGAGCTTTTGACAAAATGCATATGCAAAAGGTCAGTATATTATAAATATTTTGATAAAAATCAAGAAAAACAGTTTTATAATAAGTAGATTGCTTGTCAATTTAATGCCACTTATGCTAAATTTTTTTAAAAGCAGTTTCTTGTTTAGAATTATATTTACGACAATTAAATTAAAAGATAAGTATATTAAGAAAAGGCTATTATATAATTATTTATTGCCATTATACATAAATTTAAAAACTATTCTAATATTATATATTTGATACATAAATTTTTTAGATATTTTTACCATAGAGCACTGCATTCAGTATCCCAAGATTAAGACTCAGGCTATATTTCAATACTATATACAAAAATCCTGACTTATACTTGGGTAGAATTAGGATTGCAAAGTTAACAATGTCTGATAAAATGAATCTCTGTCTGAAAATCGGTTTACACAATATACTGGATACAAATCATTAAGTGCTATGGTTTTGATTTATATCTCGGGTACTGAATGCAGTGCTTTAGGTATTCATTTATAATTATATGTTAATCCATTTAAACAATATAAAGCATATTTATTCAATAAAGACCGAGGCCAGGCCTCACTTAAAAAAAAAAAAAAAAAAAGTATAATTATATGTTGTCAGTTCACTATTTGCTCATTTTCACTTTGAGTATCATCTTCATTTTGAGTATTTCTCTGTTTTTTTTTTCATTGGTTTAAGGCCGCTATGGTATCTTTTTCTAAGTTTTTAATTCCTCTTCCTTTTGATTTTTTTTTTTAGTTAAATAAACCTCTTTCGCAAGAAGGTCTTGCATACGTTGAATTCTATGTTAATAACAGGTTTCCATATTAAAGTATCCTTTTGTAGTATTTTGAGTTGTGTATTCAAAAAAAGAATGATTATTAGGGTCCAGATCTTGAAATGCGTTATATATTTGTTCGCTTAAAGCCTATAGCTGTTCACATTGATCTGGTATATTACGGTCATCAATATCTATTACTTGGTTAACAAATTCATTAAGAACTGATAGTCGCTCAATTTCATCTTGACTTCCTTGTATTTGCCAGTGTAAGTTTTTTTCATCACCAGATTTTATTGTCATTGCTTGTTTAACCAATTTAACACCGTATATTTCTAATGCTTCATCATATGCTAGGTAATGTTCTTCATGTGTAAGATTAATAGATGGTACTTGATATAATCTTTTTTGAAGTTGAGGGTCTTTATATAACTTTCCTAAAAAAATAGCAACTGATTCCGCATATCTAAATTTGCCAGTAATTGGAAAAAGTGGTGCAAATGCAGCAAGACATACAATTTGCAAATCGAAATCTCCTCTTCAACTTCTGATTTTATGTGCTTTCCAATAACCAGCCCACCGATAGTAATTTAACCAAACTTTCAAAATATTATTAGAACGATTTTTAATATCATCAATAGTTTTTTTCGTATTTTGTAGATGATGGTGAATTGCAATTCCAACTGCTGCCCAGATTAACTCAAGAACTCTACATATTGCATGGTAATCTGAACCTTTCTCTAAATTTGCCAAATATTTAACGCCAAGCTGTGATGCTATGTTAAAAATTCTATACCCAGAAAAAGCTGTAATTAAGGCTTGGCACATGTCTTTTGAAGTGTGCCATTGTCCAAGAATAATATTCGGGATAAGATTCATATTTTCATAATTTCTAAGCCTTTGAAAAATAGCCTCATCGCATGCAATATCAATTGTAGTAACTCCCGTATTTGCTACATCGTTTAAAAATATATCGCATGTCTTATATACATTTTTATTAGAATTCGGTGTTGAACTAGGTTTTAGAATTATTACTTTTGGTTTATCAAACTTACACCCTATTTCAACATTTTCAATAACCTTTAGATGAATATTATTAATATCAAAATCATTTTTCTTTTCCAAAAGCAATTCTTCAAAAATGCGATCATAATTGTTGTTTAAATTTTTCGTAACTGTTGATAACCTGATCGTAACTTGGCTTGATTGTTCAGAAAAAAAAATTGAATTGGGTTCTTGCAAATTTGTAGAAAGTTTAAACTGAAACATGACTCATAAGATGGCATGCGCAGTTTGTCGTACAGTATTATAAATATTTCTGTATGCAAATATTCTTTCTTTTATATCAATATTATCAATAACTAACAAATTATAAATATTATTTGCAGTTTCAAGTCTAGTAGCAGGATTAGCACTTTTTATACGCCATTTTTCTGTATGAACTTCATGGTCCCAAGAATAAGAAACTATATGTGCAGAATGAAGAATCTTATAAAGCTTTGAAATCATATTTGGACATCTACAAAGTGAGCCTAAAGCATGAGGTAACCAAATTTTCCAATGACGAAAAGCAATTCCCATCACGATTGATACTAAAAATATTGTGATTCTGTTAGTTGGTATTAAATCTAATGGAATTGATAATAATCCACAGAATTTTCTCTGTCTTTCAGCAATTTCATGTTTTTTTATAAAAAAAACTATAATAAGACTACTAAAAAAAGACCACAGAGTTTTAGATAATACCGCAGCATATTGTATAAGAGATTGAGGATTTTTCAAGATTGGCAAATTATTTTCAAGTAAAATACATGATTGCTATAATGATTTTCCAAGAAGATTTTCGAGGTATTTATATTCATTTTCTTTTAAAGATGCTGCTTTTGCTCTAATGCTTAGATCTATTTTTGCTAATTTGAATACTATTCGAGTTATTAGTAAAGTTGGCATAACTTGTCATTTGGAAGGATCTATTGGTTTATAAATCAAATCTCGCGGCAAATATGTCTTAAGTGACTCAAGTACTGGTAGCAATGACCAAATAAGTTGTTGTTTTTGTAATTCATTATTGGATTTTGCTACTAACTGAATCCAATTTCTGAATGTTTCTAAAATTCTAATTAACTCATCATGTTTTTCATTACAGTTTGTTTCTTTAAATCCTTTATCTAACCTTTTATGTAGGTGACCGCCATTAATTTCAAAACATTCTGAGCAAATGTATAAGGGTCGTATATTATTCATTGATAAGCTAGAAATTGAGTAACAGGGCTGTAATGCTTCACATATTCATAATCCTATATATGCGACTCTAATATTACGTCCACATACTGTTTATAAATGCTTAAAGCAACCTTGGCCACATGTAAAGAAATATTTATATTTGTTACAAAAGATACATCGAACATGATGAAGAATACTTTGGTCTATTCCTAGTATTTGAATTTTTTTAAAATGTAGCTGATTTTGATCAAAAAGAAAATGCGATAACAGATACCAAGCTCGTTTAATTTTCTATTCTATTGCTCAACAGCATTACAATCAACTTCTCAAGTACTTTTGAGTTGTGCAAGAGGTCGATTAGAACCACCAACATCAATTCTGTTACACCATCATATTTTATTATTATTATTGTTATTATCGATAATGATACAGAGTGTATATCTATCATCTTCTACAAACTGATCTGATAAAATTTCGTCCATTTCTTCATCCAACTCATTAAATGTATTTTCTTCTATTTCATCATTAAAATCATAATCTTCATTATTATCACTATCCAGCTGTAATATTTCATTTTTAATGTCTTGGTAAGTATCGCTATCAAAATTAAGAATAGGAAATTTTTCTTTTTTATCTGAAGATTCACTATCAGAATCGGTAGAATAGGGATCAAAATAATTAACGTTATTGATGTCTTCCATAATTGTAAATTAGAAAGTTTATGAATTAAATATGTAATGATTTTAATTAAAAAATTTAATTATAATAAAGCTTAACGTTGAGACAAGACTTATTTATATATAATTTTTTATTTGTTGTTTACTCATTTATTTACTTATAGAAAATACACTTTTTACTTTAAATAATATTTGATTATTAACTGAACTTTTGTATACAAATTATCCAATATAAAACTCCAAATTTTACCAAGAAAAAAAAAACACAACAAAAGTTATTTAATACAATTAAATAAATTTCTGTTTACATCTTTTCGAAAAAAGTTTAACACAAGTTTACAAAACGCCCTTTTAGCATACATCTGACTCATAAAAAATTTTCCTTTTTCTCACACGCCATCTCTAACTTGTAAATAATTCGCCATTCCTTTCTTTCTAATTTAGTGGCATTTGTAGTAAACACTTCTTAAGGGACATATCATTGAGAAGATGATACAATTCCAGATGCACCAATAGAGGGAAGGAAGGTATGATAAGTTATTTGCAGGTTAAGGGTGGCGTATAAGAAAAAGGAATTTTTTTAATGAGAGTGATTTGTATTGAAAGGGCGTAATAATTATTTATTTTCTATTTTAGAGGTGCATATAGTAAATATTTTTTAAAGAGCATGTCATTGAGAAGATGATTTTAGATGCACCAATAGTAGAAAGAAAGGAATGGCGAATTATTTACAAGTTAGAGATGGCGTGTGAGAAAAAGGAAAATTTTTTATGAGTCAGATGTATGCTAAAAGGGCGTTTTGTAAACTTGTGTTAAACTTTTTTCGAAAAGATGTAAACAGAAATTTATTTAATTGTATTAAATAACTTTTGTTGTGTTTTTTTTTTCTTGGTAAAATTTGGAGTTTTATATTGGATAATTTGTATACAAAAGTTCAGTTAATAATCAAATATTATTTAAAGTAAAAAGTGTATTTTCTATAAGTAAATAAATGAGTAAACAACAAATAAAAAATTATATATAAATAAGTCTTGTCTCAACGTTAAGCTTTATTATAATTAAATTTTTTAATTAAAATCATTACATATTTAATTCATAAACTTTCTAATTTACAATTATGGAAGACATCAATAACGTTAATTATTTTGATCCCTATTCTACCGATTCTGATAGTGAATCTTCAGATAAAAAAGAAAAATTTCCTATTCTTAATTTTGATAGCGATACTTACCAAGACATTAAAAATGAAATATTACAGCTGGATAGTGATAATAATGAAGATTATGATTTTAATGATGAAATAGAAGAAAATACATTTAATGAGTTGGATGAAGAAATGGACGAAATTTTATCAGATCAGTTTGTAGAAGATGATAGATATACACTCTGTATCATTATCGATAATAACAATAATAATAATAAAATATGATGGTGTAACAGAATTGATGTTGGTGGTTCTAATCGACCTCTTGCACAACTCAAAAGTACTTGAGAAGTTGATTGTAATGCTGTTGAGCAATAGAATAGAAAATTAAACGAGCTTGGTATCTGTTATCGCATTTTCTTTTTGATCAAAATCAGCTACATTTTAAAAAAATTCAAATACTAGGAATAGACCAAAGTATTCTTCATCATGTTCGATGTATCTTTTGTAACAAATATAAATATTTCTTTACATGTGGCCAAGGTTGCTTTAAGCATTTATAAACAGTATGTGGACGTAATATTAGAGTCGCATATATAGGATTATGAATATGTGAAGCATTACAGCCCTGTTACTCAATTTCTAGCTTATCAATGAATAATATACGACCCTTATACATTTGCTCAGAATGTTTTGAAATTAATGGCGGTCACCTACATAAAAGGTTAGATAAAGGATTTAAAGAAACAAACTGTAATGAAAAACATGATGAGTTAATTAGAATTTTAGAAACATTCAGAAATTGGATTCAGTTAGTAGCAAAATCCAATAATGAATTACAAAAACAACAACTTATTTGGTCATTGCTACCAGTACTTGAGTCACTTAAGACATATTTGCCGCGAGATTTGATTTATAAACCAATAGATCCTTCCAAATGACAAGTTATGCCAACTTTACTAATAACTCGAATAGTATTCAAATTAGCAAAAATAGATCTAAGCATTAGAGCAAAAGCAGCATCTTTAAAAGAAAATGAATATAAATACCTCGAAAATCTTCTTGGAAAATCATTATAGCAATCATGTATTTTACTTGAAAATAATTTGCCAATCTTGAAAAATCCTCAATCTCTTATACAATATGCTGCGGTATTATCTAAAACTCTGTGGTCTTTTTTTAGTAGTCTTATTATAGTTTTTTTTATAAAAAAACATGAAATTGCTGAAAGACAGAGAAAATTCTGTGGATTATTATCAATTCCATTAGATTTAATACCAACTAACAGAATCACAATATTTTTAGTATCAATCGTGATGGGAATTGCTTTTCGTCATTGGAAAATTTGGTTACCTCATGCTTTAGGCTCACTTTGTAGATGTCCAAATATGATTTCAAAGCTTTATAAGATTCTTCATTCTGCACATATAGTTTCTTATTCTTGGGACCATGAAGTTCATACAGAAAAATGGCGTATAAAAAGTGCTAATCCTGCTACTAGACTTGAAACTGCAAATAATATTTATAATTTGTTAGTTATTGATAATATTGATATAAAAGAAAGAATATTTGCATACAGAAATATTTATAATACTGTACGACAAACTGCGCATGCCATCTTATGAGTCATGTTTCAGTTTAAACTTTCTACAAATTTGCAAGAACCCAATTCAATTTTTTTTTCTGAACAATCAAGCCAAGTTACGATCAGGTTATCAACAGTTACGAAAAATTTAAACAACAATTATGATCGCATTTTTGAAGAATTGCTTTTGGAAAAGAAAAATGATTTTGATATTAATAATATTCATCTAAAGGTTATTGAAAATGTTGAAATAGGGTGTAAGTTTGATAAACCAAAAGTAATAATTCTAAAACCTAGTTCAACACCGAATTCTAATAAAAATGTATATAAGACATGCGATATATTTTTAAACGATGTAGCAAATACGGGAGTTACTACAATTGATATTGCATGCGATGAGGCTATTTTTCAAAGGCTTAGAAATTATGAAAATATGAATCTTATCCCGAATATTATTCTTGGACAATGGCACACTTCAAAAGACATGTGCCAAGCCTTAATTACAGCTTTTTCTGGGTATAGAATTTTTAACATAGCATCACAGCTTGGCGTTAAATATTTGGCAAATTTAGAGAAAGGTTCAGATTACCATGCAATATGTAGAGTTCTTGAGTTAATCTGGGCAGCAGTTGGAATTGCAATTCACCATCATCTACAAAATACGAAAAAAACTATTGATGATATTAAAAATCGTTCTAATAATATTTTGAAAGTTTGGTTAAATTACTATCGGTGGGCTGGTTATTGGAAAGCACATAAAATCAGAAGTTGAAGAGGAGATTTCGATTTGCAAATTGTATGTCTTGCTGCATTTGCACCACTTTTTCCAATTACTGGCAAATTTAGATATGCGGAATCAGTTGCTATTTTTTTAGGAAAGTTATATAAAGACCCTCAACTTCAAAAAAGATTATATCAAGTACCATCTATTAATCTTACACATGAAGAACATTACCTAGCATATGATGAAGCATTAGAAATATACGGTGTTAAATTGGTTAAACAAGCAATGACAATAAAATCTGGTGATGAAAAAAACTTACACTGGCAAATACAAGGAAGTCAAGATGAAATTGAGCGACTATCAGTTCTTAATGAATTTGTTAACCAAGTAATAGATATTGATGACCGTAATATACCAGATCAATGTGAACAGCTATAGGCTTTAAGCGAACAAATATATAACGCATTTCAAGATCTGGACCCTAATAATCATTCTTTTTTTGAATACACAACTCAAAATACTACAAAAGGATACTTTAATATGGAAACCTGTTATTAACATAGAATTCAACGTATGCAAGACCTTCTTGCGAAAGAGGTTTATTTAACTAAAAAAAAAAATCAAAAGGAAGAGGAATTAAAAACTTAGAAAAAGATACCATAGCGGCCTTAAACCAATGAAAAAAAAAACAGAGAAATACTCAAAATGAAGATGATACTCAAAGTGAAAATGAGCAAATAGTGAACTGACAACATATAATTATACTTTTTTTTTTTTTTTTTTTAAGTGAGGCCTGGCCTCGGTCTTTATTGAATAAATATGCTTTATATTGTTTAAATGGATTAACATATAATTATAAATGAATACCTAAAGCACTGCATTCAGTACCCGAGATATAAATCAAAACCATAGCACTTAATGATTTGTATCCAGTATATTGTGTAAACCGATTTTCAGACAGAGATTCATTTTATCAGACATTGTTAACTTTGCAATCCTAATTCTACCCAAGTATAAGTCAGGATTTTTGTATATAGTATTGAAATATAGCCTGAGTCTTAATCTTGGGATACTGAATGCAGTGCTCTATGGTAAAAATATCTAAAAAATTTATGTATCAAATATATAATATTAGAATAGTTTTTAAATTTATGTATAATGGCAATAAATAATTATATAATAGCCTTTTCTTAATATACTTATCTTTTAATTTAATTGTCGTAAATATAATTCTAAACAAGAAACTGCTTTTAAAAAAATTTAGCATAAGTGGCATTAAATTGACAAGCAATCTACTTATTATAAAACTGTTTTTCTTGATTTTTATCAAAATATTTATAATATACTGACCTTTTGCATATGCATTTTGTCAAAAGCTCTCATGCTGGTGCATCTAATGAATCATTTTTAATGTTATATAGTTGTAAGCTTGAGAAGAATCTTCTAAAAGTATATAAAATAATTGCCTGTTTTCAAAAATACCATATTCTATATAGAAAAGTTTTTTTATTATATTTTTTATATTTTTGATTCATAAAAACTTCAGTAACAAACTTGTTTTAAAATATTTA